CAGAGAATCGATCCTCGCTTACTATCAGATGACTGGAGGCAAGGCCGGAAAAGGTTAAAGGGTAATCAGCTAAACGATCCTGAGGTTAGCGACTATGATAATCGTTTGTCGCCTTAGACAACGAAGTCAGGACCTATTGTTTTCGGCCGATCAGAAGGTACCGAACAGGAGACCTTAGAGCCAGATGGTGTTTCTTCTGCAGATTCATAACTGAAGGACCATAGCTCGTCATATACTGGGACGCCATCATCGTTATACATTAATCTAATTGATCCGATGATTCTATCTACAGACTGCTCAAGGGATAATCACCCGAATATCACATCAGAGTAAGTCCAAGAGGCTGCGGAAACCAGAGGAAACCCGCCACCTGAGAAACCACAGTCTCAGAGCTCATCCTGATCGATCATGCAGACGGTAGTCAATGTGGAAGAATTAGCGAGAACTTGTTATCTAATCCCCATAATTATGAGGACGCTCCTCCACAGTCCTAAACTAAAATAGATGGATCATCTACAAGTCAGCAATCAGTCCGGGCTGAGAAGGAGATAGGGACTAGATCAACTCCAGCAATAACGCTAGATCCTGAGGACTCAGGAAGTGACACAGCTAAGCTCTACTGGAGTAGAGGCTACGCTCTAGTTCCAGAAGGAAGTAAGCTAAATCGATTCACAAATAATGCTTAGAGACGTGAGGAGATCAGCAGCAACATCAGCCCAGAGCATGTGATTAAGGGCAAAAGACTGAGGACTTTGAAGAACAGCCACTCCAGCGTCAACCTTGTACAATCGCACTTACGAAATCTCTAATCTCCCGCAAGACGTGCCAACCCCGTCACAAGATTCAAACGTCGCAAACGGTAGAAGACCAAAGAATCAATTCTCGCTTACTATTAGATGACTCGAGGCAAGGCCAGAAAATGTTAAAGGGCAATCAGCTAGACAATCCTGAGAGCACTGGAGGGTAGATGGCAGCGAACAGCCGTCCAAGAAGGCGCGCACAGGGGGTAGGCAGAAGTGAAGTGAAGTTTTATTTGGCCTGACACTAAGCCCGAAGGACACTTGTACAATATAGCACATAATTATGATACAATTTAGGATGAATTTAATTTCGGACCGTGCGCATACGAGTGCAGCATGGCACGTGCAAGCTCAAACTAATCGTTGAGCGCTTACCGGGAACTCTGCAGCTGCCTTCCAACTATACCGCGTTAACCTAGCTATTAACTTGCTTCTACTAAGGTCGCGCTACATTTAGTCAACACGTTCCTGTGAAATTACTTTGGAGAAGGTCACTTTTACTCGGCTTTGTTGAGCTCGACGGCAATGAGCTGGTGACTTTATTACTAGCAGGGGGTATAAATTATCCTTAATAGAAGTTTAACGTGTTTTACCACTGAGTCGTGTTCCCCACTGAGTCGTGTTCGCGAACCGAATGCTGGATTACTCGGGCCCTTCCGGCTGCTGCGCAGTTTTTCCATGAAAAAGCCCGTGCTACGCACGGGCCGAGCACCTCAACGTACATCCTAACCTCAACGTACCTGACATCAATGTCTAATATTTACAGGGAAAATACATATATTTTTCGACACCCATGTCTGTAAGTGCAGTTATAATATGTCAATTAAAGTTCGGTGCATCTGCCAGTTAAATATCGCTACTATCACTGGCCCCTTCATACCCAGGCTCATCTGCCAGCTCATCCTCCTTAATATCACGTAGCTGCGACTCCTGCGATTGCTGAGCTGCTTGAGAGCGCTGAGAAGCCTCTTCTGCTAGTCTCTTGCGGCGTAGGAGGGCTGTGTACGGGTCGTTAATGCCCCTAGCCAGTGAGCTAAGTAGTGCGCTAGGAGTCGCATCATCAACGATGTCGCGTCTTGGCCTGAAGGCCCCTCGCTTGTCAAGCCTTTGTAGGCAATCCTCACCGTTTTCCTGACAGATATCGGGCTTAAGCACCCACCGAGAGACATCGCGATAGCAGGGAACCCCTTCTGCCAACCTCTTTGAGCATTTCTTGCCATAGTTTCGCACAGAAGAGAGGAGTCTCTTCCACTTATTAAAGATTCTCTCAGCTTCTTTATGTTGGCAAAACCGCGATAGGCAACCTTGCTACCATGCGCCAAGCGTAGGCAGAACTCAAGGCACCACCGCCACAACGGCAACGTGAGTCATCAAGGATTCGTACTATCGTTACTGCCTAATCGATTATTATGTATTTAATCAGTCATTACCTTCAGTAAGCAATGAATGCAATTTTATTCCTTTGAAGACAATATGTATGAGAACTTCATGCTGCCAAATATAACCTCCATGACTTTAGCCTTCTTCTGCCTTAGCTCTCGCTCCTGCTTTGCAATTTCATCCTCTCTACGCTTCTTAATCATTGCGCGGCCGTCTTTAGCGTAGATTGGGCCTCCTCCTATATCAAGCGTACGCCTTGAGCGCTTGCGGCGTTCCTCTCTGGCGTTCTCAGCCGCCTAAGAAGCGTGAAGTTGATGCTTGAAGCCTTCTACAGTAGTAGCCATAGCCATAGCCACCTTTAGAGTTCGTCTTATATCACTAGCTATAGATGTTGGCAGCCACTCAGAGATAACGCCGTTGATCCTTTTCATCTGATTAGAAAGGGTCTCGATGTCCTGAGGTTCCACCCATCCAGAGCCTCCAGGTTCAGGTATGATAGGACGAGGAGAACTTAAGTGCCTTACGCGGATTTATGCCCATCTTAGCTCACTTTGCACAAAGGAGAAGCGCCTAAGACCTCTATTATTTGGTGAGTCACCTCCAGAGTCATCATTGCTCTCTAGCTCTAAAGAGTGGAAGGTAGGAGTAGCGCAAGCGTGTACGAAACCACCCTCCCTGCTTACTTCAGAAGCATCCTTGGCAGATTCCTCTACTACCTCCTACTCACAGAGCTTAGTGAGAACTACCTCAGGATCAAAAGGATGGATGCCAGTTCGCCTCCAGCCGCTTGCAATTGTGCCAGGTCGAAACGCCTCTTAACGAATTTAGTGTATAGTCGCTAAGAAATCGTCTTTTGAAATATCCTTTGAGCCAGTTCTTGCAGCCCAATCAAGCATCCTACCATGATACCACTTTAGTGGCTGGAAGCAGCCTACATCAAGCACCTGAAGGAAATGCGTCGTATATGGAGGAGAACCAAAGAGCTGTATCCTATTACGTTCTGCGTACTTGATAAATTCGCGGATATGATATGAGCCGTACCCATCAAGAAGTAGGAGTCTCCAGGTCCCTTGAGTCCTGTGCCTGGTCATCCTATTAAAGTGCTTAATCCAATCCAAACTCGTCTCATCGTTGCTATACCCAGAATCTGAGACGTTTATAAGGTAATCGTCAGGGAGATCTATCACCCATTTTTCAAGGATCGTGCTTGCTTTGATAATGATCATGGGTTCGATGATATCGCCATTGGCTGAGCAGCATTCAACCAGTGAGATGAGCTCACGGTTGTTCGAATGGGGAATGAATATCTGTAGTGAACGACGTTAGGGATCGCTCTAATAGTAATTGTGTGGGAGCTTACCTGTTTACCGTGCCTCGTATATACATACTGATTCTTCGCGACCCCTATTCGACACCCAGTCTCATCCATGTTCCACATATCCTCATGTAGTATGCCCAACTCTTGAATCTTAGCCAGAAGCTTCTCAAACCACCGCTGGATGGCCTCTGGCTGCTGTGCAAGGTTCCTGGAGACCTCCATTGGCTTTGCCTTGACGCGTTTATACTCTGGGTGAGCTGCCAACCAGCGCCCTGCCCACTTCTTGCCACAGCGTAAAGAATTCTCTTCTCCTACATGGGTAGCTGCTAGAATCGCGTCGCACTGCTGCTCCACCAATTGCTTGTGTATACCCAATCCTATATCATCAATCGCGTCAAGAAAGCGTTTCAAAGCAAGGTCTTGCTCCTCCGTGAGCAATAGACCCGGCTGAGGGCGCGATGAACGGTTGTTTCCACCCTTATAAGCGCGTACAAGGCGTCGGTAGCGTAGCTTGTGGCTATCGGCGAACGCGCGTATGTTTGGGTTAGGGACTGTTTGAAGGGTCTGCACTGCTAGGTCAATGCGTCTGCAAGATTCTTGGTACTCTTTAGACTTAGGCATGTTTCTTTGCACGTAAAAATGTATAATGGGGTACAAAAACGCGTCGCAAGGTCCCCAGGTACGTTGAGGTTAGGATGTACGTTGAGGTGCTCGGCCCGTGCGTAGCACGGGCTTTTTCATGGAAAAACTGCGCAGCAGCCGGAAGGGCCCGAGTATCCCGTATTATTTAGTACAATGCCTTAACAACCATGTAAAAACCTTGTCGCGCAGGAAGCCAATATTATTCTCGCCCTTTAAGCACTCGATAAACGCGAAATTATAAAGGTTAAGGAGGCTGCTGTAGCCTATAATGTTCCCTACTCCACGCTGCTTGACCGACGCGCCAAAAAGCCCTTTCGACGCGATACCTAACCCAACTGCAAGAACCTTACGCCTACAGAGGAGCAGGCGATTATTCGATACATACTCGACCTCGACGAACGAGGATTCCCCCCTACGAAGCCTATGGTGCGCGAGATGGCTGATACTTTAATGGCACGAAGGAATCAAGGGCCTGTAGGCAAGAACTGGCCTGATAGGTTCCTTGAACGTACTTAGGCTCTTAAGACTTGCTGGAGCCGTGGCTACGATCGCCAGCGAGCTATGAGCAAAGATCCAGAGCTAATCGAGGCCTGGTTCACGCTAGTGGCCAATACAATAGCGAAGTACGGTATACAGGATGAAGACGTCTGGAATTTTGATAAGTCAGGCTTCATGATGGGCATGATCATGTCTCAGCTAGTGATTACTGGCTCTGAGAGACGTGGTAAACCAAAGCAAATCCAGCCAGGCAATCGTGAGTAGGCTACTATAGTCTAGGGGGTTGGTGCTCGTGGGCACGCGATTCCGCCGTTTGTTATCCTCAAAGGCAAGCGGCCTATTGACTCCTGGTACTATGATCTGCCTTCTAACTGGTCTATATCTGTCAGTGACAACGGCTGGACTAATAATGAGCTTAGAGTCGCGTGGTTGAAGCATTTCAACTCGCATACAAAGAATATGACGGTAGAGTCACGTAGGCTACTGATCCTGGACAGCCATGAGAGCCACGACTCGTTCGAATTCCGCGAGCTCTGCGAGGAGTATAAGATAATTACTCTCTATATACCTCCACATTCGTGGCACCTCCTCCAGCCGCTTAATGTGGGCCTTTTCTCGCCTATGAAGCGAGCGTATAAGGCGGGGATCTTAGACTTAGCACGCCAACGCGTTAACTATATCGACAAGGTTGCGTTCCTAAGCAACTTCAAGGACGTGTTTGGACGCGTTTTTACGAGCGCCAATATATAATCAAGCTTTAAAGCAGCTAGGCTAGTCCTAATCGACCCAAACGTTGTTCTGTCGAAGCTTGATGTCCGCCTGAGGACCCCTTCAGAGAGTGCCCTATCTTCACCTACCTGGGTATCCAAAACCCCGAGCAATACTGTGGAGATGAGCGCTCAATCGAAGCTGGTTTAAGAGAGTATTTGAAAGCACCAGAATTCGTCGCCTACGCACATTGTTTTGTCGCTTGATAAGCTAGCAAAGGGTGTGGAGGTGATAGCGCATGGAGCAGCGCTGCTTAAGGTTAAAATCACTAAGCTCTAACGTGCAAACGAGGAGCTCACTAAGCGTAAAAGTAGAAAAAGAAAGTATTACGAGAAAGGCAAGAAGACGTTAACTGTCGCAGAGGCACTAGAATTGATCCCTAAGCCTGCTGGCGAGCAGGAGGGGGAGTAGAGTAGCAGCAAGAGAGTGCGCACGGGCGGTGCTCAGCGTAAGTGTAGTGTCTGCAGACGGCCAGGGCACAACACCAGAACGTGCCCTGCGCTTGAAACTGCGTCGACTGCTAGCTCTAAGTCTGTAGTATTAATTGATAGTCTAGGGTCGTTTATAATTAAGATATAGCCTACTCTACGTTTACGAGTTGCTATAGAATTATATATAGGCAGAGATATCTAATAGATATGTTAGCCGCAATAAATGAAAACCTAGTAATTACTAAATTATCCAGGATGAACCAGTAACTTACTAGTTTATCCTAGATAACTTAGTAAGTTACTATACCCTTCCTGTGTAGTGGGCGTGCGTAAGAGGGCAGAAGGTGCTAGGTGTAGTGTCGCGCGAGGCAGGCGACGACGACGTTAAAGCGATGCGATAGTACCACCACTACGAGATAGAGCTTTAAATCTAGTACAGTAGGAAGGGAAGGTACTGAATTATCTAGGATGAACTAGTGTTTTTAAGAATCTTTACGCTGCATCATGCTAGTTCATGCTGGATGATCCAGCATCGGTTCGCGAACACGACTCGGTGGGGAACACGACTCGGTGGTGAAACACGTTAACTCTTAATATTGTGGAAGGGAAGGGCTTTATAAGAGCTTCTTGACTTGGAGGCGACCATGGCTGGCCTGTCTTATCTGTAGATACGAATCCATTAAATCGGCCATTGCGATATGCTAGAAAATACACGTGAGTGTCGTATTCTAGGCACAACTTTGCTAATTTTTCGTGGAGGGTTTTAGATAGCTTATGGTAATTGTTGTTTGCAGCTCGCCTTGACTTAGCGTGCGTACTACGTATGAATGCTGCTGAGACGACATGACTATAGCGCTAGAAATTAGGACCGGCTAGCCTGTGAATATGTAGACTATAGAACGGCCTTGCATTTAGCGTACGACGTCTGGATTCTGAATTAAGGTGCTCGTTTCGATCACGGATGCCAGGTTCCCAAATCAGTCCTCCGTTTCCAGAGTGGCAGGGGGGGACTTTACGCTTTGCTATATATGGAAATGACGTCGCCCTCGCACGCTTTTCTGGTTTCCGTTTTCGAGCTCCTGTCGGTTTACTTTTAGTCGAATGCCTGGGTTCAACATTGTTTCGGTCATCGCATGTGTAGTGTAAGCGGAGAACTTTTAAACAGCCACGACAGGACTCGATGCTATATTTAGCGCGGAGCCCAATTGAGTACTTGCCTTTTTGGGATATCTAGCAAATTGTATGCCTGATGACGTCATATATAGGCCTACCTGACGAACGCCAACCGAGAGGTCGCCCACAAAACACCCAGGTTTTCAACATAATCCTACAATCGTCAAAATGCAACCAATTGAGGCTGCGCTGGAGTCGTTGAAATCGCTGAAACCTGGAGAATCTCCTAATTATACTGCGACAGCGAAAAATTATGGCTGCAATCGCTCAACACTCTCCAAACGCCACCGACGTGTGCAGGGTACCAGGGCCGAACAATACGAAAATCAGCGCTATTTGACTGAGGAACAGTCGAGAACTCTCATTGCCTATATAAATAAGCTTACCGCCAGAAGTTTGCCGCCTTCAAATCAGATGTTACGCAATTTTGCGAAGGAGATTCGCCACGCCGAAAAGAGACCTGGGAACCACTGGCCAGAGCGCTGGAGAAAACGCTACGCTAAAGACATTATGTACGCCTACGCTACTGGGATTGATAAAGGACGTAAGGCCGCCGACTCAGCGTTCAAATACACTCTGTATTTCGAACTTATGCAGAGAAAAATCCAAGAATATGAAGTAGAGGCTGAGGATATGTATAATATGGATGAAAAGGGCGTTTTGCTTGGTATACTCCAGGAAGGCAAGCGATATTTCTCCTGGCGTAAATATGAAGAAGATGGCCTCAAACAACGACTCCAGGATGGTAATCGCGAGTGGATAACTTCAATTGGCTGTGTTTGCGCTGACGGAACTTGCCTGTCGCCAAGCCTCATCTATCAAGCTGTTAGTGGGAAGATACAGGATACTTGGTTACAGGATTTCGACCTAAAGGAGCAATATTGCTACTTTACCTCATCGCCAAGTGGATGGACAAACGACAAAATCGGCTACACCTGGCTTGTAAATGTATTTAATCGAGAGACAAAAGCAAAAGCAAGACAGCGTTACAGGCTTCTTATTATTGACGACTATAGTTGAATCCCATGATCATGTTGCCTATAGGCAGGAGCGCCACAGAGGTGACTGCCTGGAAGGCAGTCAGTGGCGCTAGGCAGATAGAGGAGCTCCTACAACTATAAAGTAGTTGTAGATCTCATAGATAGAAAATTATCACACTTGTATTCCCAGTTCAGAGTTTCAACTGGTTATGAGCCTCTCTTTTATGCTTTGATTTGGGACAAGTGGTCAGTGATCACAGAACCCAGACCCAGACCCCAGACCCAGACCCCAGACCCCAGACATGACTGAGCCCAAGATGGACGAAGTCAAAGCCGACCGCAAGCTCAAAGGCAAGACTAATTTTATCGGTTAGAAACGCGAGTTTGAGCGTGCGGCCAAAGCCAATGATATCTTTGAATACCTCACCAGCAAAGAAATCATTCCTCCTAAACCTAGGAAGGAAGAATACTTCCCGAAGCCTTTTAAAGCTAAAACACATTATTCTGCCCAAGCTAAGAAGACTGCTCAGACTGTGACTCTATCACCTAACGATGACAACGAAACGGATGATGCCCAGGCCATTTTAATGTCCACTAACAACAACCTCCTCTGATGGTAGATTGACTATAATGAACACAAAAACGCTAAGGAGAAGATGAAGTTTATAGGCAAGTTGCTTAACGCTTAGGTTTCTGAAGGTATTAGAATTGAAATTAAAGACTGCGCAGACGCTAAGGAGGCTTATGACTTTATTAAGAAATAATACGCTGTTACTAATAAGCGTGCGCGTAACAGTCTATTAAATTAACTCAGTAACCTTAAACTTAAAGACTATTTATTTATAACCGAATATACTAACAGAGTGCGGCAGATTAAAGCCAACCTTAAGACTATTAAATATAATATAACTAATAATATGCTTGCTACTGCTTTTCTCTATAGTCTTTCTTTTAACTATTATAGTTTTAAAAAGAAATATAACTGGATCTGCTTAACTAAACCTAATAACTTTTCTAATTTTAACTATCTATATAATCGCCTGCATGTTAAAGAAGCTATATAACTTTATATTAAAAAAGAAAAAAAGGCTAAGGAAAAGGCTAAGAAAGAAATAGGTAGTAATAATAATACCAGTAACAACACTAGTTATAATAGTAACTAGAAGCTAAAGTATAAGAATAAGAGTTATTTAAAGTGCACATATCCTAGCTACAATAAAACTAGTTATACTAAAGAAAATTATTAGATTAAAAACTCCAATAAAATCCTACGCTCTCTTAAGGATAAATTTAATACTAATATTAATAATAGATCTACTAAAGACACTAGTGGTATAGATAGTATTACTAAAACTAATTTTACTATATTTAGAAATACCTATACTTATACTGATTCCCTAGATACGGCTTTTTTTTCTATACTATATATAAATCTAGCTAACTCTTTACCACAAAAGCATAGTGCTAGGTTATGTAGAGAGTTATAAAAATTAGAGAAAGCTAGTACTAGAAATATAAAATATAAGAAGTTAGGTTTCTTAAAGAAAGTATTAGGAGCTTTTTTAATAGATATACTTTATATACTAAATATATAGTTAGCAGACACAGAAGCTAATAAGCATATTATTAATAATATTAAATAGTTTATTAAAGGGACTTTCTGTTTGTTTGACGTAAATATTAATACTATAGATAAATTTACTACCCTTAAGATTAAAAGTAAAGATATTATTTAACTTGTTCTTAAAAGCTTTAATAGGTTTCTAGTAACTATATTACTTTTAAAAGTTACTTATATTTCTTAGGGAAAATGTAACCTATTCTTAGGTAAAATATTTACTTAAAAAGCTAAACTAACTAGCGTCTATAATAATCAGTATATAACGTAAATTAATAACTAAAAACATAAAATTAGATATACTACTTTTAAGAATAGATTATACCATTTCAGCACTAAGAAAGTACTTAATTCTTTTAAATTAGGAGAAGTTATTATAGCTATAGTGAACTTTAATAATCTAGTATAGAAATAACATTATTAACTTAGATACCTTAGATTCTAGAATATATTAAACTTATTAAATTTTTTTACTAGAATGGAAATTACGGCAGCATAAATTAGAGCTAAGCTTAAGATAATATACCTAGTATATATAGTTATATAAGCTTTAGTTAAAATCCTATAGGACTCAGCTAAGCGCTATACTTAAAAGCTAGAATAAATAATATATATTAATATATAGAGACCATACCTAATTAAGGGTTTTAATAGTATAAAGTATTTTCTATTTATTACTAATAACTATATCTGGTTTATGCGGAGTGCGTATTTCAATTATAAACACTAGCTTTTTAAAGTTTTTAAATTCTTAGTAAAATTTATCTAGAAGGCCTACAACATCACTATTTAGTACTATTATTTAGATAATGAATTTAAGAATAAACTAGTTAGTAGATAGTATAATGCTTATTTAATAGCTTAAGAACCTATTAAACCTTATATATACTATTAAAATAGAGTTATTAAAAGAATTAATTAAATAATTCAAGAAAAAACAGCACCTATAGTATAAGAAACGTTTATTTCTAGATAAGTCTTAAAAATTATTTTAGAGAAAGGCATAGAACTCTTGCGTATCTCTAGTATTCTTAAGAATCTTTAGTCTAAAGCTATATAATATGCTATTTAGCT